TGAAGGACACAGGAATAAACTTTGTATTGAAGATTATATCATATTATTAGATTAAATTATCACTGCACAGAGTACAGGTACTGAGACAACAAAAAACCCAGTAAAGGGCAGAATATTGTACAGAGCATAATCAGAATGAACCGTAATAGAACAAATGTAGGAAGCTCGGGTAGCTCTGAGTGACTCGAGCTTAGTCCACTTGACAGAAGGGAGTCTACAGCTCTCTATATTTCCATGCACACGCATCTCCTGCCTTCCTACATAGCAAGATTAAGTGCACCGAGCGACTGTTACGTTGATGGCACGCACGTGTGTGCCGCCATTAGCGTGTGACGATTTCTCGCTGTGCCCAAATCCATGATGAGGGTACGTCTCAGATGCCAAATCACTGTAAGTCTTAGTGTGCACTTTTCATGTATGAATTATTCAGAGACCCGCCATCATGTGTCATCCTTTTTAAAGGATCAGTGTAGAGCCACCCGGGTATTTTTTCTAGCTTATGACACGTTAAGCACTTAGTGGTTTGTATGTCATCATCATTGTTGGGCAATGCATGCTGTTTTTGCACCCCGGGTCACACTGGCATGGTGGACAAGGCTTAGTTCTGGCTCGACCTTTTTCAACGTGGCGGCCGAGTAACAATCTTTCTCATTTTACAGCTGAACAGTAGTTTAAAATAAGCCATGCAGTAACATTATTAATTACTTTTCCGTGAGCCTGCAGCCTCGCAATGGACGGACTTCGTCTGCATAAAGTTGCGGCCGAGTCGTGATTATGCAGAGTTAGACGAATGGTCAGTCAACTCGCCGTGTGGTATCCATCATGCAACGCCCAGCCTCCGGCTCTCCATAGATGAATAGGATCCATCAACGGGTTTGGTGCATCTCCACCTTAACGCAGCAGTGTTTTCTTTTTATTATATATAATACATATAATTACTGTTATGGAAGTTATAATCCCTTTTCATTACCTATAATAATAATAATAATAATAATAATAATAATAATAATAATAATAACAACAACAACAACACAGTTATGTGTTACTGCCCAACACTGATTATCATTTTTCTGCATGAATCATGTGAACATGAACAAACCTGCCGTAGCACTGTAGGTAAGATAAACCCCCCCCAAAAAGCAAAAACTGCACATTTTTTATAACGAAATCTATTTAGCTACCATAGCATTTGTTCAGGTTACATAATAGCTTGATTATTCAGTGATACATGGACTAAGTGTACTATGAATGGCAATATGAACAGCATTAAAAACGAGAGCGCACATGCATCGGCGGTTTCCAGGCCGCATGATGCCATCGTTGAGGTCTCCATCTTTGATAAATGTGGGGTGTGTGGAGGTAATTAATGAAGTTGTGTGTCTTATGTCTTTAAAAAGCCTCAGAATGAGTCCGCAGAGCTGGTTGCTCATGCACTGCTATGATTCATCACCTCGCGTTAGCCACCAGCTCTGCGTCACTCCGCTGTACATCACAGCTGATCTGATCTGAGTCCAGCAGGCTAATTACCTTACGCCGGCTAAACAGCATGCGGCTGCCACACTGAATGTTCAGTCCCTTCCACATTTTTCCAGCCATTTAGTTGACTACAGCACCCAGAAGCCTCGTCGCCTCTTACCAATCATGCTACAGGAACGTACCACTACTGAGCACGTATATTGTCTTTTTCTCAATAATTGCAAAAAAACGCGTCTACACTTTTTTAGCGGCCTAATCACAGATGTATTAATATTGGTTTATATGTATGATCGATAACGACAGATGTCAGTACAGAAAAGTCAAAGATATGTTGGTTGTTATTTAGAAACCGTGTCTTCATTACAGTTTGTCAACCAGAGAGCAACAATTTCACCACACATCTAAGTAACACAAAGCTCACAATCTGAGGAGTTGTTTTTCTGGCCAAATATGGAAGCATCAAGAACTCCTCAGGGAGAGCCCTGGCCAAAATAACCGACGAACTGACCCGAAGGAAAAATGAAGTCACAAAGCAAACTGAACTTGCCAAAATGAAAAGAAACTATTCTGAGCCTGGCTCTCTTATCAACCCAGAGAAACCGGAGGAAAGGAATGCACCACATATTGGCAGCACTCTCCTACGGGGCGTCCTGAACTAAAGGTGGTTCAGACTCCAAATCAACATGTAACAGTAACTTAGAATAATTAGTTTAACTGAAATCTTTAACAACAAATTAGCAACCTCCATCCATCCATTTTCCACCGCTTATCCGGGGTCGGGTCGCGGTGGCAGCAGGTCAAGCAGGCCGACCCAGACCTCCCTCTCACCGGCAACATGTTCCAGCTCATTCTGGGGGATCCCGAGGCGTTCCCAGGCCAGCTGGGAGATGTAATCTCTCCAGCGTGTTCTGGGTCTTCCCCGGGGTCTCTTCCCAGTTGGACGTGCCTGGAAAACCTCCAGTGGGAGGCATCCAGGAGGCATCCTAATTAGATGCCCGAACCACCTCAGCTGACTCCTTTCGACGCGAAGGAGTAGCGGCTCTACTCCAAGCTCCCTCCTGATGACCGAGCTCCTTACCCTATCTCTAAGGCTGAGCCCGGCCACCCTACGGAGGAAACTCATTTTGGCCGCTTGTAGCCGCGACCTTGTCCTTTCGGTCATGACCCAGAGTTCGTGACCATAGGTGAGGGTAGGAACGTAGACCGAGTGGTAAATTGAGAGCTTTGCCTTCCGGCTCAGCTCCCTCTTCACCAAGACGGTCCGGTGCAGCGCCTGCTTTACTGCTGCAGCTGCACCGATCCGTCTGTCGATCTCCCGCTCCATCTTACCCTCACTCGTGAACAAGACCCCGAGATACTTGAACTCCTTCGCTTGAGGTAGGCACTCCGTCCCCACCTGGAGGGAGCAATCCACCGGTTTCCGGCAGAGAACCATGGCCTCAGATTTGGAGGTGCTAACTCTCATCCCCGCCGCTTCACACTCGGCTGCAAACCGCCCCAGTGAATGCTGGAGGTCATGATCCGAGGAGGCTAACTAATTAGCAACCTTTCTGACCTTAACCTGATAACATTATACCAAAGACCTATGGACTAAATAGTTTGAAACATATAAGGCAGTACAAATGGCTCCTCGCCCTTTGTGTCCTCAGACGGACCGATTGGATGGATATTAGATGTTTAACTTCCTGAAAGTAGCTCTAAGCTGCTTCATACATAAAACTAACGCCAAGATTTTTTAATCGGAAGCAAAAATTTAAATAATACAATAATTTATTTTCTAATCATTTGAATTAAGTGTGTCATTGTCATTTACACTGGTTACTTGCATAAAAAAACCAAAGTTAAAAAGATAACATTCAGAATTTTTGACTGCTTTACACCAGCTTCGGGATGGTTGAAATGTTTTTTTAGACCGTTGCGGGACGGTGGTGAAAAAAGTTAGTCTGTATGTACAGTATGTACCAGCTGATACAACCAAACTGTTGCTATCAGCAGATATTGCTCATTGAGTTCTTTAAAGCAACTCTAATAGATATTTTAATAACAAGTCACTATAACCTTTTTATAGTGACTCATACTGTTCCGGTTTGCTCTCATAGAGAGAAGCCACGGTTCACTCCCTGCTCAGCTCAGACAGACGTAGTGAGCGACGAGCTGGTGAACGTACTGCAGCATTTAGCAGCTGAAACACACCGATGTTTCCCTCAGGAGGTGGTGGAGACCAAAAACGGAGCTAAAAGAAGAGCGAAGTTTGGAATGATGATGTTGCTCGGTAACTGCTGGATTATTAAATAAGCAGCTCTTTGATAAAAAGTTCACCAGATGAATTTAAAAGGTGATGAGTTGATGTTGTGTTCGCTCCTTTTTTTCTGCTGAAAACAGGTGGCCAAAAATATTCGCTTGTTGCCGGCTTAAGGCAACATAATTCGATTTTTCAGCCACTTTGTTGCAACAGGACAAGCTGTTCATGTCATAGTGATGTATTCTTACTTTATAAAGTTGTTGTGGTGAATGTGTCACAGAGCAACATTAGCATACATCTAAAGCTCCGTCCACCTGATGACTCTGAGTCCAATTTTGACTCTTTCAGCGTTGACTGTGCTGAGCAGGTAGTGTAGAGTGGGTCACGTGTTTCTGGCTGGTTGACTCGCTCCAGTGGATGGTGGCTGATGGATTTACTCCGACATGTTTGTTGTGCTCATCCCTTGTGTTTTTATAGTGGCGGGCAAACAATGAAGTGACCCGCTGCCACCTGTGTCGGGCGACTGTGGCTCAGTAGTAGAGCAGTGTTGTCCTTCATTCAGAGGATCGGCGGTTCGATCCCTGTCTCCGCTAGTCCGTGTGTCCAACACTTAACCCCAAGTTGCTCCCACAGCTGTGCCTACTGTGTGTGAATGTTGTATGAATGTTAGTTAGTCCTGGTGGGCAGGTGGCATCTTGCATGGTAGCCCTTGTCATCATTGTATGAATGGATGTTAACGGGTGAATGATGACATGTAGTGTTAAAGCTCTTTGAGTGGTCGGAAGACTAGAAAAGCGCTACAGTCCATTTACCATTTACAGTCTACCCACTGCCGTGGAATGCGTCTGTGGCCTCCCCTCAGAACCGTATCCATCAGTCCAACTGCTCGTCTGGCCCAGTTTGATGTGATGATTGTTGAGGTTTACTGCCCTTCTATTCAATTGTGAACTGGAATGCGCATACAATTAAAGGTGAGACACTTCGGGCAAAATACAGTTTTCATGCACAATTTTTTGGGCTATTTAGCTTCCATAACATGTCATCTTTCAGACTAGTGGAAAGAATCCAAAATACACATTTAGGTGTTTTATTTTATTTGCATCTGTAGATTTCTCCTAAAGTCGGCAAAAGTTACCATTAGATAATGCCTCATTTGCATATTTAAACATAACATTTCAGAAAACTTGTTATACAATTTTTTCTTTTTTAGAAATAGTGTGTAGCATTTAGGGGGATATATTGGCAGAAATAAAATTGAATGTTATTAAGTATGTTTTCTTTGGTGTAAAATCACCTGAAAATAAGAACCGTTGGGTTTTCGTTAGCTTAGAGTGAGCCGTTTTATATTGGCATGGAGCCGGCCGCCATTTCTTTTTTTTTTTTTTTACAGTAGACCATAGCGAACAAACCAAACACTGGCTTTAGATACAGCTGTTTGCATTTTTCGCATTGGCCACTGTAGTTCTCGCACACGTTTGGCACACAGGGGAAGTTTCAGTTGGTGGCAATCTGCAACCTCACCACTAGATGCCACCAGACACTACACACTACACCTTTAATGGTGATATCTATTAGTTCATCTTTTACCCTGTTCACCTGTAGTGTCTTCAAAATGTCTGTCATTTTACAAAACATATCTGTAAAGGCTGTTTTCTCAAAAATGACTGATCCATAAATATTTTCCCGTAGTAAGAAACCTTATGTGCACATTTCTTCAATCAGAATTTTCATTTTCATTAATTTTTAGGTATTTGAGACCGAAATTTAAGAGAAAACTACATAAACAAGCTTGAATAAGACCCAGTGATAACACACATTAACAAGAAATTGGTAACTAAATGCTGACTTTGGTTCTTTGGGGAGTGAATGAGTAAGTGTGTGAGGGAGAGAGGCAGGGAGAGAGGCAGAGGAAAAAGCAGCAGGATAGTGAGCAGAGTGACAGACAGAGGGAGGAGGGAGGACAGGCGGAGTGCTCCATCTCTCCGTCTGCCCCCCCGGTCCTACCTGGCCATGTCATCCGGCCTGCGCAGGAAGTGGAGGCGCGCGGTGCAAGCGCTGAGGACTCTCCGTGGGACGGGAGCAGCAGCAGCAGGAGGTGGAGGAGGAGGAGGAGATGCTGTGAGTCTGCTGTTATTTTTAGTCTCTCCTCCCTCCCAGGGCTACGTGGGCTAATCCGCCGCCGCTCAGGCTTATCCAGATTGGAGGTAGGACACAGAGGCAGGGAGGTTAAGCAGTTGCTCCCGTGGGACGTCGACTTTTAGCCGGCTGTTGCGAGTCTAAATTGCCCACACTGAGCATGCCGGAGCAGGACCGCGCTAGTCAGGGCTGTGGGTTTGACGGGGCAGGGGCACCCGAGGCGGTGAGGCACTGAGGAGGAGGAGGAGGGCTTCTCTGCGCCGGCCATGAGTCTGGAGTGGCTGCCGACCAGCTGCTGCGCCGGCTACCCCAGCTGGCACCGGTGCAGGCCGGCCGAGAAGGGCGCGATCGCGGCCTCGGACGGCCACGGGGAAGGGGGAGTCGGCGGCGGCGGTGGGGGGACCGGGATCCAGCTGAGGGGGCTGGACACGGAACTGCTGAAGGGCAGCCTGGTGGTCTTCTACGCACCTGCTGGGAACTCCTGTCTGCTCAGATTGGTGGGACATGGATGGATGGATGGATGGTAGTTTGGGGTGTGTAATATTCTCCGGGCGTCCGCTGCTTTTAAAGATGTTTTCATATTAAATGGAAACAGATATAAAGGTCTTTCACATGGTGGATTTACAGGCTGGAATATGGAACTGGAACTATTAAGATCTTTAAAAACCCTTCTCTTTGACTTCACTTTGCAGAAGGCAGCGTCGGAGGTTTAGACACACATGTCCTTCATACAGAGTTGTGATGCCTACAGCCATTGATGCTTTGTGTGAATATGTATTTACTGCTTCAGGGCAAATCGGTTGAAAGACTCGACCATAAATATCCAGGAATGGCGATTGACATGTATTTAAAAAGCACTGATTGTGCAGCATTTATGGCCAAAAAACTGCATCAAATAATGTTGGATCAGTTTGGACCCTCATGTCCTCCAGCTTTTTGTATCGGTCCATGTTGTACTGTCGTTTATTTTACGGTTGCGTGAAGGATGTGTGTGTGTGTGTGTGTGTGTGTAGATATTGTACCGGACACAGTTGTTTTAGATTGTCTGTAGGGCCGTACAATTGATTAAAATGTTAACAAAAGACCCATTTTCCCTCTCACCTGTAGTGCTGTTTATCATCCCAGATTGTTTGGATGCGAGTTGTCTAGTGTTGTAGTGCCGTAGAGATGTCCGCCTTCTCTCCAATATAATACAACTCTACGGTAATCAGCCAGTTTCATGTAGGAACTATTTTCTCTCAGCCGTAGTTCCCACATGTAACTGCTCACAACTAGGTCCGTAGATTATCTTGAGTAACCGGGTCAGGATGTCTGGAAAGAGAGTTTTCCAACTATTCTTTTTTTTTTTTTTTTTTGGTGCTTTGAGCAACACAAGCCGAGTGACATGTAGTCCCGTTATATTGTTGAGAAATCAGACGCCTCTACGATGAACACTGGGCAACTCCCACCAAAACAATCTACAATGATAAATGGCACGACAGGTAAGAAAGAAAATATGTATTTTTAATTATATTTTGGGGTGAATTTAAAGGTGAATTATGTGTCAAAATACCATTTTAGATGAAATATTGTGGTGCTGCAGAGATGTCCACATTCTACAGACCCCCTACCAAAATCACACCATTATCATTTGAATATGTGTTTCAATGAAAATGAGAATGATGTAAAAATGATCATTCTCTGTTAATACCGCAATTGCAATATCGTTGAATGTCAGTCTGACATTCTTCGGTAGCATTTAATAACGTGGGCTTTAACAGCAGAGAGGGAGAGCTGTGTGTCTGTGTAAAATGTCAGTGGCGCGCACACACACACACACACACACACACACACACACACACTGATAGATGTTGAGTTTCATGCTGCACATTCCAACGAGGTGATAAAGAGATGACCAAGATCTTGGCATAGAAGCACACCCATGGCGCCGTCAGTGGTTTACGCTAAGGTGACGAAGCCCTCTAGTGGCTGTAGCGGTTATAACGGGGTCAAAGGTCGTGCTGGAGGGCTGGGTCACCGGAACATCTAGCCGTCTCCATGTTGAGAGCTGTGTGGAGGCAAACCGTTAATCACAGAGATCTCTGGAGTTGAAACTCTGCACCTTTAACAGAGTAGTGACAGCATTGTCACATCGTTAAAGTGATTTATTTTTCAATAGTGACTATCACCCCCAGGCATAATAGCCTGGGGCTGGGGTGATCATGTGTTTGGCTGAGTGTGTGTGCATGCGCTTGTGTATCTCTCTGTCTGTCCACGGCTAATCTGTCATATGCCTGAACCCATCAGCCTGATATCTCTTGTGCTCATTTATGACCGTATGTTCAAGGACCTCTCATGGTTGCGGTGATTCACAATTTTAGAAAATCCTGTTTTATTGACCGTTTCATATCGTCATTGACTGCTGACTCCTCAATCCTCTTAACCAGCTGCAAGTGATCAACATGTCTGTTGCTGGCCACAAAAAATACTGACAACCATAGAAACGTTTGGTCTCATTTTCAACCGGGTCATCTGCAGATTAATTCCATACCCGATATCTTAAGATCCACTAAAGTTAGGCACGATGCGAGATGAATAAATCCCTGTCTTTGTCGTCGCCACCATCTTGACTGTAAGGGTGTGTCTAGTGGGACAACTGAGTGAGATTCAACTCATCTTTGTTTGTGCAGCATGTTAGTTTTTTTCTCTCCTCCTCAGAAGGTGCTGTGTGGACTAAGAGCTGCAGTGTGAACACCTTTACTTTGTTTGATTACAGCACACTTGTAATGCGCTGCAGCAGGACTTCTGTTTGGTTTTCATAATAATGATGTAGTGAGGTGGCTCACACAGATACTGGAACTGAAAAGAAGCAGCTGTCTATACTGTACACTGTTGCAGTCTGATTTGTGAAAGCCTTTTCTGAATAAATAGGAGCAATGTCCCGTGATGTATAAAATCATGATCTTCAGAATTCTGCTGACCTGAGCATGTTTTTCCCACGGCGGTGCCTTCACAGCCCCGCAGCTCTATGACTGCTGTTTCACTCTTGCTGCTGGATTGTGGATAAACTAGATGGTACAACCAAACTCTTCTTTACTCCCCTGCAGCGCGTCAAGTGTCCGGCCCACTCTGAAGGGGCTCCGAACAGGCCCGGCACTAGCCATCGTAAACAGAGTTGTTCTGATACCAGTACCGGAAATGCCAATGAAATACATTTAAATATAATTGCCCTTTGACAACACGCTCCAAATAACATGTCTTTTTACAATCAACATTTTTACCTCTTTACTTAAGATTTCATTAAACTTAACATGGGGATTTTTTAAAAACGTTTTCTCACCCGCCGAAATTCACGCGCACTTTGAACTCTCACAAACACTCTGAATATAGTTTATTCTAAAACAAATTACATCACCGGTACAGGCCGCAGTCTAAAAATAGGCTATTTAATTTTTGATATGTTGCTTTATTCTTTTCTGCACAGCCATCTGGCGCTCCCTTACCGCCTGTCTGATTATGATGAAGCATTCAGAGCAACACAGAAAGGGAATCTGTCTACGTGGAACTAGAGGAGGCAGACTGACGGGAAACAAATAAAACATCTCATCATCACATCCTCTTCCTCTCAGTTCTCCCATCGGTCCTCTTCTAATCTCTCTCTCATTGAGTGTTTACGTGAATAATATTTGAGATCGGGTTTTTTAAGTATCTTGTTTATGTGTTTGCACATGTAAACACCACATATCGTTTCCCAGAAACCGGGATACTTTTGCATGTATACACCTTATGCCGGTTGTTGAGTGCTGAGTCAGTAGCCGGTCTTCTAGTATTTATCATGTGTATGGGATATGAATAACCCGATTCCTCCGCGCTCACGTGAACATCATATTCTGAATATGAGCATAAACCGTGATGATCCTCATGTAAACGCAGTCGTAGACAGCTGCAGGAATGAGTTCTAAAACCAGGAAATGAGTCAGCATTTCTGCACTTCCAGTTCCCACGTGTCCAAGTGGAGTGGATTTTTGAATGGGTTTTGGTTAGATGGCTCAAACGAGGTCTGTGGTTCACACAAGCTTAAGTAGGAGTTTTGTTATGCGATGTAAAATCTCGTGAATTTTAGAGCTTTAACGTGTCTCATTACGCCAAATTGTCCGCCATTAGCTTAGCTTAGCCAACAAGCACAACGTCAATCTGCAGAAATGATCACTTTTCTACTGTTTGTGGAGCAGCCGTCCATCCTCGTCCACTGCAGGTAATGTTAGTGATGCCATGCTGAGTTTGATCAGAAGAACAGGCTAATACATGAAAGTATTGCTGCTCAAGAAACTATTTTTATACACACAAGAATAATAAAGCAATGAATTGTCTTGTTTTTCCTCACACAATAATCAAAAAGAACCGATAAGAGTGTCGATAAAATCTTAACAGTATCCATCCCTATTTATAGCCCGACGTTTGTGTTTACACATCAAAAATCATAAAAGTGGTGTTCCTTTTTGAAGATTGTCTTGCTGAAGCGGCTGAAGTTAAGCACATATCCTTGGTGTGTGTGTGTGTGTGTGTGAGTGAGTGAGTGAGTGAGTGAGAGAGAGAGCATTGAGCTGGAAATAGATGAGGGCAGATGTCTGTTGTCCAATTACAATCATACACCAGGCAGTGAGACGGACAGGACAACACACAGGCGGCTGTTATTGACATGATACTGTTCTTTCACAGAGGTCAGCTCAGTTCACACACACACACACCCTTTGCCTCTGATGTGTGTGTTAGCCTCCTTCCCACTTGCATGTGCTCAGCCCTCCGTGAATCTAAACGCGAGTCGTGTCGAGGCTCAAAAAGCATTGTTGGATGATTATATTTTTCCAAGACTTGTTTAATTAATTGTGCGGCTGAATGAATTGTGTCGCTGCAGTTAGCTAACCCTGCTGTCTGTCTGTGTCCCCCACAGGGCTCAGGGATGGAAGAGATGGTCTGGGAGCAGTACACAGTCAATCTGCAGCGGGTGAGTTCCTTCACTTAACTGTGCTGCTAAAACAGTGTTGACATCCATACATCTGCTCATTGAGCTGAAGCATTCAGGGACAAACATTCTGCATTCATCAATCCCCCCAACATTTGAAGATGGACGTTTTCCTTGTGTCTGTAGTCGTCTGGTCAATGACTTCACGCAGGTCTTCTTTAATGAGAAGGTGCCGGTGGGATGAAAAAGCGTGTTTTCTTTAAACCATCGCCAAAACTACACCGTCTATCTGAGCCAGAAGCTGTAAAAAACCATCAGTATTGTCAGATTTCCATCTTTCCGACGGTCCTTGAACACGTCATGTGTGAGGAACGCTTCCTACAGAAAACGCAATCTAAGCTGTGATATATCATGAATTAAACCTTTTATTCTACACGCCTTATTTAAAATCTCGCCCCAAATTTACCATTTGCTTTAACCAGATCCTGTAAAAAACATTACATTCTGAGCTCCTCAGCACAGCTAGGGAGCCGTGATTGACTCGGCTGAGACCAGGTGACAGGTAACAACAATTCTTTGAATCTTCGACTGAACTGTAGGCTGCTGAACACCGTGCATTGAGGAGAGGCTGTAAGTAGAGGTTGTTAAAATCTGAATAGCTCTATATATATATATATATATATATATATATATATCTCTATCTCTATATATATATATATCTCTATCTCTATCTCTATCTCTATATATATATATATATATATATATATATATATATATATATATATATCATGTGGAGCCTCCAGATGTATGGCATGATAACTGTGTTATACTGCACAAAAGACATGTTTGAGTTCTCTCCACTTCAAGCCATTACTGTGCTGTTTCCATAGAGGTGCGGGACTTGGGATTTGACAGGGTTGACATCAGATGCAGTATATTTTGCAGTCAGCATCTCCGTGTTTGCCTCGGTGTTGTTGTGAGTCACGTTCTGTCCGACTGTACTGTCTTCACTGATGGATTCCTTCTTTTCTGCAGGACTCTAAGATGGGTTTCGGCATCGCCGTGTCAGGTGGGCGCGACAACCCCAACGTGGACAGCGGCGAGACGTCAATCATCGTGTCCGACGTGCTGCAGGGAGGACCAGCAGATGGATACCTCTAGTAAGTCTAGTAAACCCCTCAGTGGACTGAGTGGCCTGCGAGGGTAGTTAAGATCAGGAATTTGTGGGAATTTTGCACAATTTCATACATTTTCATACTGAACGTATTTGGAGGGAAGATGCACACAAAACAGCAATTCTAGGTCTTATGCCTTGCTTTTGTCAGCCAACACTACTGTGCTCTCTGAGCTTACATGTTAGTTAAAAGCATTTATTTTATAATTTAGTTCACTTTAAACCCTTCAGTTTGCATCCAGCTCACATTGTCGGCTCAGATTTTCAAAGTGTCTTCACAAATTAATTGATTCATTTTTTAAATTTATGAATTATGTCTGCTTATGACGTGACAAAACGTCTGTTTCCATCTGAGCAAATAATTAAAATATATTTCCATTTTGTATCTGCTTTGTCCCATAAATTCCTCTTAATTCCCATGGAAAGTTTGCTCCTTCAATATTCCTGGAATTTTGCAACCCCACCGCTGTGTACTGGTTTTATTGTCGAATCCACAATCTCACCTCCACTACGAGTCACTACTAGTCACACTCAACACGCTGATCAACTCTGCATTTCTATCCAGCATGCAGCTGACTTAGCTACATAGCACAGCTCTGCAAAATGTCTGGCTAAAAATAACACAACAAATGGCTATCAATCAAGGGAAAATAATTATTTTCTGCAATCAAGTTTAGTGGAATTACAACTAATTTGTACGAAGCTGTGTTTTTTGTTTTAACGTCTATGTTATGATTGTTATTTTGTTCTCACAATATCTTAATTTCTTGTGTCTGTTTTGTTTTTTGTCCAGTGAGAATGATCGTGTCATTCAGGTCAACTCCATCCCCATGGACAATGTGCCTCATTCCTTTGCTGTGCAGTCGCTCCGTAAATGTGGTAAAGTGGCTAAAATAGTGAGTATGAACCACACAGTGTCTTTCTTTCCTGAGTTAAGATTGATGACATAACAGCTCACATACGATGAAAAAACGTGTGGGTAGTCGAGGTTGTTCGCTGTCTTAGAATGATGACCTCTGGTTTTCTCACCCACCACCTGAGACATGTGGAACTTTAGTGGATCCTGTGTTCCTGTGTTTGCAGAATTTGGATAAAAACCAGAGACTGTGTATAAAAGTGGATGTTGTCACCGTGACGTCGCCCATTTGTTTGTGGTTTGCCATTTAGAAGCCTCAAGTTTGGCATTTTGGTCATCGCCATCTTGGTTCTTTGGAGCCAGAAGGGACCATATTTAGACTGAGCCCCCAAGGAGGGGCGCCAGGCTTTGAAGACCAAACGGTGGAATTACAATTTTGGGGCACGTGATGCCATGGCTCCCAAAATGACTTTTCCCCATAGACTTACATTGGAAAAGAGACGTCCATAACTAAATGGATAATGTCTTTTGAGATGAATGAACGACATGAAATGCCCATATGTATTAAGCCATTAGGTCGTAAAAAATGTCAAATGCCCTAATAGCAGAATCCAGAGTTATTTTGCAACAAAAACAGTTTTTTGAAAAGTTGGGCATTTGTCTATGAGAATTGACTTGCTTTTGGAGCGAGCCTCAAATTGACCATTCAAGGAACGTTTTCACTTTGCGTTGGCTTCATTTCTCAGAACTGGAGGTTGCAGCTTGATTAAATAAAAAAAATTAAGTAAAAATAGTCACCTGAACCGTGACTAAAATGGACTCATAGTTCGAAAAGCCATCAGCAAATACAGAGTTCTCGTTGGAAAGATAATCCCCTTTTCTCTAAATGTTTTTTTAATACATTTCTTGCCATTTTCATATGAACACCAAGACCTCTACCAATGTCTTCCAAAAACGTGCTCTTTCGCTTCCATATTTCAACGATCGCGTCTCCACCCGCTCTCTGACAGACAGCTTCTCACTCCACCTAACAACGTGGATGTATAAAAAAGCTATAAACTCCTTTAATTCCGGGCTTGTTGAACAACACCTCGTAAGAACCATAGCTTTTCTGATCGAGCATAAATCGACTCTTACTCGGTGTCGACCGAGCAGCTGAAAGATCTGAGGCAGATCGCTGAGTCCAGCTGCAGCTCTGCAAACACTCCACAGAGTGATGGAGGGAGCTGTGTTAGTGAGAGAGAGGCCAAAAGAGTGCAGTGGTCTGACACTCATCACAGCTGTACTTGCAGTGCTGTGGCACTTAACAGATGTGAGTGTGTGTGAGAGAGGGAAATAAAGAACACGGTTTGTTGGCTGAGGCGCACATGCTGACTTCGATTTCGCCGTCGCCATCTTGAATTACGGTCGTCGCCATGTTGGTTGTTTTGCCAAATAGACCATTTGTTAGATACTTAGTTATCCGATTCTGGAGTTACTACACAACAGTACAGTTATTTTGTTTCCCCAGCTTTATGGTCTGTTTGACTCTAAATGGACCATCATTTACTCAATGAACATCATGCTGTATTGAAGAAGACTTGAAACTAGAGATTGAGACCATAAACTCATGTTTACAATGTTTACTGAGGTGATAAATCAAGAGAGAAGTAGAGTCATTTTCTCATAGACTTCTATACAATCAGAGGAGTCGCCCCCTGCTGGTCAGTAGAGAGAATGCAGGTTTTTTAAGACTCTTCTGCATTGGCTTCATTCAGCAGAACCGGAGGTTGCCTCCTGGTTTTGCTAGAGCCAGCAGTTTCCCCTTGAAAGTCAGTGTGAACTCTCCTCTCAGTGTTAAAGGGTTAAAGAGGTCCTGATGGGATTTGCAATTAATGGAGCTTGAAAATGTCGGGTAAGACGGCACGTTTCAGATGTTTCATGGTGAGCCAGCTCAAGTGAGGAGGAGCAATGCCACTCACTGTTTTCTGTATAGTAGCACTTTACGTCTACAGGAACAGATAGCGTGTTTGTGTGGTTTTAAGTCTCCTGCATCAGTGCTTCTCTCAGGGTTTCAGCCTGGCTGCCTCTCGTGCTGCTGCAGCTCTAAAAGCAGCAGCAGTTTTGCTCCCGTGTGTACGCTGGACTAATCTCACCGCTCCGTACAGCTAAATATAAAAGCCTGATATGTCGAGGGAATCTGATTTGCTGCTTTGAATCCCTGCTTTCACGACATCCAGCTGTATCTTTACTCTCACTGCTGTCTGAGACACAGAAGACATTTAGTTTGAAGCTTGGGTTTCTTTTAGAGTTGTTGTTTTTCTGCCTTATTGAACAAATAGGTCATTTAATGACTAAAGTCTGTCTGTGTCACACAGATATAATAACTATAATGTTGTTTCTGTTCTGTTTTTTTGATGAAGACTATAACTAGCTAATGTCATGTTTGACTCACACTAATCCTACTCAAGGTCCACAAACTCTTTCATTCTCTCTTCTTGTTGGTTTGTACTTGGTGAAGCTGCTCTGTAGTGTTTTCCGGATGTGTGGACTCGAGTCACATGACCTAAACCAGAGTCAGACTTGAGTCACAAATTTGATGACCTTAGACTCGCTTGACGAAATCAAAAAAGACTTGCAACTCAGCTTAATCTTTGACACCTATGACTTGGACTTGATCCTTTTGACCTGAAAATACTTGATACCTTCCCTCAAGCGCAAAGATGATTATGTATGGTATTTAAAAAGTACTGGGACTTGGGACTTGACTCTGGACTTGTCAGTCTTGACTTGGGACTTGCAAAGCAGTGACTTGGTCCCACCTCTGGCGTTTCCAGTTGCAGAAACTTCTAGTTTATGTCTGACATTCCTCAGTTAACTTTTAAAGACACGGTCAAAAATGGCAAAATATGTGCCTCTTCCCTTCCATGTGAGAGAAGAGGCCACGGAACAATTGATTTGGTTGGCGAAACAAATTCATTCCACTGTGGTGAACTTTCAGTGCGAATACTCAACGCCTGCATTTGTGCTTGTGACCATGTATTTACACCGTGCGCCATGTTTCTGTGTTGTCATAGAAGCCTACATCATAAGGGGTTTGTTGTTTCCACGGCCGTCTTTGATTTGTATCGTATCTGATTTTAACGCCCGTAAAATCCTGCCGTCTGGACTTCTGCGAGAATAGCATAACAAATAAAAAAATGTCAGTGACATCCAAAGTTCTTTGCAAAACGTCACATGTATACCTACATAAAGATATGGAAGTTTTCTATGACTTTAACTGATCTAAATCTAAAACTACCCAACCAAAGTAATGCAGCTGCCATAGTGTGTGTAAATGTACACATTTGGAGAATGGCGGGAGGTGTCAGTGGAGGAGTACTTGAGCTCGTCTGTCAGGTCTTTAGAAGCACATGTCATATTCATTTTGTTTTCGTTATTTTTATTCTTCTCTGTCAGACGGTGAAGAGACCTCGCAAGGTCCACTCAATGCCCCCCTCCCCGGACGGAGACAGTCGGATATACACCCCCTCCAACTTCTACTACGACGCCGACAACGACAACGGCTGGTACCGGGACCAGACCTCGAACAGCAAAGCATACCTGGACCCCGACTACAGGGGAGGGCGGGACTCAAACCAGAGAGGGAGGAGCCGGGGGAGGAGCCAGGAGAGGACCTCGCCCAGCCCCGACCGAGCCAAGAGAGATGGCAGCCGGGGGCGAGCCCTGGACACCAGCGCCGACCGCCAGCGGTACCACAGCCGAGGCCGCAGCCCCGGGGAAAGCAACCGCACGGAGGAGAAGTACGAGCGAGGAGAAGGAGGAGGAGGAAAAGGAGGGAGGTATAAGAGCAGGGACCAGCTCAACGACAACCCTCCATCCCCAGAACCCTCCAGAGAGCTGGAGCCTCTGGAGAAACCGGTCAACGTCCTGCTGGTGAAGAACAGACCCACCGAAGGTAAAACCCCTCACTTGAGATGATCAAAGCTTTTATTTCATTCTCTATTCTCTTGACGCCCGCAGAAATACAACAGTCATAATTCTGATTTGTTTTTTAATTTGTCTGCTACCTTTTTTTTTTTTTTTTTAGATAAAAAGAGATTTAACAAAGTATTATAAATGCCTCTCTAATGTAGTCCAGCATTAACTGCAGCCTCTGAAATCACTATGTAATCGTATTGACACCCGTTTAAACACAGCTTGACTAACATGAGACTTATTGCAGGGCTGGTATTTTGGTTCTTCTTGTCCCTCAGAGTAGGAAATGACCAGTAAACAACGGTATAGAGCAGGCACTGTAATATTTGAGAAATAACAGCAGAGGGGGTTCATCTTTTCCTTGGTTTCCACTGTGTCGATTGGATCTCTAGCTTTGGCCAGCTGCTCCAGTTAGCTGGTATGGGATGGTGATGGTCGGTATAGGGCTTTTGTTATAGATTTGGCTGCTTGGTGGCAGGGGTTCTGTGGTAGTTTGTGTTGTCTTGGTAGTTTCATTATAATGTATTTTGTGGGGATGTTTCAGGTTTTTAGCCAAGTAAGCAGCGTCGCTTTATGGACGTAATTGTTGGGCAGTCTGCTGTTCAACCACTTTGGTCCAGTTTTCAAATATCTGAGCAACTATTGCGTGGATTGCCATGATATTTATATAGACATTAATGGCTCAGTAAGGATAACTACCAATGACTCTGGTGATCTGGTTTTCCTCCAGTGCCAGCAGCAGGTTGACATTTGTGCTTCAGGGTGAAATATCTTAACCTTTGGATGGATTGCCATGAAATGTGGTACAGTTTAAGGATGGACTGATATGTTTTTTTCAAGGCTGATGATACTGATTATTACTAATCAAGAACACCGATAACTGATATTTGGAACTGATTTTCAGTAAAAATACAAGTCTCAATGTTACCCTACAATTCTCTGGTTGATCAGTGAAGTGTATGAACTACAATGCGGACTGAGTTCTCTACTAACAGTGACAAACAGCGTGACGGCTGACCTGTATGAACACGGGTTGAATGCACATCAGCAGGTCATTAAATACGTCTGGTGTCTGAAATGTCTGTATTTTCATGAGCTTTGATAATCTGGTCTCGGATCACATGTCTCGCCTGTGTCCAAGCGCCGTCTCTCTCCCTCTTCCTCTCCTCGTAATCATAGAACTGAAGTTACATTCAGCAACTACTATTTTCCTTTTGCCAGTATTGTATGTACTATGTACAGCACAGTGGGGCTTTGCAGTAACTGTGGTGTGCTGTATGTGTTTTGTAGAGTACGGTCTACGTCTGGGCAGTCAGATCTTCATCAAACAGATGACCAGCACAGGCCTGGCTGCCAAGGACGGGAACCTGCAGGAGGGAGACATCATTCTCAAGGTGCGGGCGCGCGCGCACACACACACACACACACACACACACACACACACACACACACACCTTATTGTTAATATACATAGGAATGCCATACATCCTCTGAATGAGCTAGGTCTTTATTTCTGTGGTTGTAGAGTTTCATGAGGCTGTGACTATCCTAGAGGTCACAACAGGTCATTTTATACTGTGACATTAAGTTTCAAAAAATGGTCTCCCTGTGTGAAAAGGCTGCTATAGGGACCAACATCATCACACATGAATACTATTGAGCTCAATGGATCCACAAGAGTCTCAGCTTTCCAGTCAAACACAATTCATACAATTCCAACACTGTTTAGGGACCCCAGTATGCATACTTATTCAAATACACAATTTTTAGAATAAGTGAAAACAACTTATACTACTTATATACTGCATGGTTTTTGCCCCCAACTGCAAGGGACTAGCATAAAGTGGGCATGTCCGAAAAGGGGAGACTGGTAAGTACCCATAGAACACTTTTTCAGTCACTTTCATTAAGTTGAGGTGAGATGTCCCCTCAGAAAATTGGCATGCCGGTTTTACCTCGCCAAAATTTAGCCTAACTTTGGTAGCATTAGCCCCTTCCCGACAAGCTAGCATGACATGGCTGGCCAATCCCGCGGGTCTCAGAGGGTTAAGTTCAAACTTTTAATTCTATTGATCGTATTTATTCAAACGTTAGATGTTATTTTTATGGCATAATGTACCCACACACACACACACACACTGGCACGGCCGGTCAGTGTAGAATAAGCCTCAACACCTAGAGCTCCACCTGACAACAACGGCAATACGAGATGAGAATTTATTTTTTTTTAAATATTTAAAAAACGTAATCGATTACGCCGACTAATCGCAGCAGCTCTAGTAAAATCCAAGATAAAATTGACACCCAAGACTACATAAATACAAGATATATATACAGATTCACAGCCTCTAAGATGAAGGTAAAAGAAGCAAAGTTCCCCAAGGTTTCCAAAGCAGGCCAACTGGCTCCTTAATCCGCTCCTTAATCCTGAATGCAGCCTCTGACTGTCTACACTGTGTGTGTGTGTGTGTGTGTGTGTGTGTGTGTGTGTGTGTGTGTGT